TCACAGTCCACTCGTTCTTCTTGCCACAGTTGGACCGATTCAGTGTCCCTGCAGGAAGAGAAAATTCAATGATTCTCTCTGAAACCAGAACCTCCCCTGCTTTGCTTTCCCATTCCATGTTTTGTTCCCCCCACAACTGAGGCCCTTCCAGGCCTTGCCCGGTGGCAGCCAAGGAATCCAACCCAAGAACCTGCCAGGGAGCAGCGTCTGTGCCACAGCAGCAGCATTCCAGGCCTGTCACTGCCGACCCTCCGCTTCTCCCAACAGCTCCAGTGGCACCACAACTTGTCCTGAAGGCAGAAAGGCTCCTTTTAGGAGCATCACAAGCCATCTATACTGTAGTACTGGAATTCCATCTCCTGGACAAGTTGGGAGAAGAAGGGAAGAAAGCAGGACCTTAAAGGCAAATTAGGAGCACCTGTTCATCCAACAGCAGCTCCAATAAAGGTACTGAGTCAACACTTCAAAGACACAGGACAGCAAGGGCCAACACCTTAACAATTACTTCAGTTTTCAGTTTATAAAGCCAAGTTAAAGCAAAGCTTTTCAGACCCTTGGGAAGACTCAATCCCATTGTAACCAGTTTGTGGGACTCATTCCCACAAACTATAGTTCCTTAGTTTATATCTTGCTAGTAATAAATCCTAATATTATTCTCCCCAATCAGGTCTCCTTTGTCTGCATAAATCTTCTCTCAATTTATAGTAATCGTGTGGGGGGTGAGAGAAAAATTAGCCCGGAGCGAACCTGTGACATTTTCGGTGGAGAACGTGGGCAGAGACCGCGCGGAGAACCAGCGGCCAGATCGAACCACGACACCCCCGTGTTCCACATTCACCACACGAAACCGATAAACTCTTTTGGGATCGTTTATTTTTGGGGCGCCCCCCTCACGCTCTGGAGGGGTTCTTCACTGCCCCCCTGGGGCTTTTTAGGGTCCCTCTGAGCCTTGTCTTTGTCCTCCTGACACTTTCCGAGGTCCTCCTTGTCCTTGTGCCCCCGACACTTTTCAGGGTCCTCTCGGTCCTCGTTGCCTCCCCTGGCATCGATGGCGGCGTGTTCCCTCCTCACCAGTTCCTCCAGCTCCTCCTGGCAGGGGACAGTGGTTTTTTGGTTTGTGGGGGTCCCAGCAGGGTTGTGGGGTGCAGGTGTCCGGATAACCCCCTAGATTTGGGGGTCAGGGTAACAATACCTTCCAGCCCAGGAGCTCGGCCAGTGCCAGGCACCCGCTGTCACAATCCCCCAACCAGGCCACGTCCCTGCAGGAGAACAGAGAGACCCCAAAATCACCTAGGGCAGTCCCTAAAACACCTGAGGGGCCTGAAATCACTTTGGGGATTCTAAAACCACCCTGGAGACCCCAAAACCAGCTTGGGGGGCCCTTAAACACCACAGGGGGGCCCTAAAACTCATCAGACCCTAAAACCACACTGAGGGGCTCCCAAAACCACCCTGGAGGCTCTAAAACCACCTTGAGAGGGTCCTCAAAGCCACACTGGGGGGGAAACGAAAGCACCTTGTGGTTCCAGAGCCATCTTGGGGGCCCAAAATACCTTGAGTGTCCTCAAAGCCACCTTATAGGTCCCCTAATTCCCCCAGGGAGGGCCTCAAATCACCTCAAGAGGTCCCAAACCCATCTCGAAGGGTCACCAAAATCATCCGGGCTGGGGGAGGGGACCTCAAATTCCCCCCCAGGGGGGAGGCCCAAAGCCACCTTGGGGGATTCTAAAACCACCTGGGGGGTCTCTAAAACTGTCTGAGGAGGTCCAGGAGTGCCCCCTGACCCGCAGCCCCCCTTACCTGTAGGCTTTCTCCGAATCAAAGTCCATGCCGCAGCCAAAGCCCATCAGGGACATCAGGGCGTCGCTCTGGGGGAAACAAAAGGGGTGACGGGGGGGAGGCAGGTGCCTCTCTCTCCCCACCAGCACCCCTCAACCCCGTGTTGCCTCTCATGAGCCCCCCCAGGCCCTCCCCTGCCTCTCACCTGCCCTGTCTTCTCCTTGTTGATCAGGAGTCTGGGGGTGTTGACGGGGACCCTGTGGGGGTGACAGGAAGGGACAGTCACGAGGGGGTCATGGGAACTGGGGGGTGGTCCAGGGGGTGCCAGGGCGGTCCCACCTGCTGACGAGCGAGGCGAAGGGCTGCACCTGCAGCGAGGTGCCCATGATGATGAGCAGGTCGACTTTCTGGAAGTCCTGAGGGGGTGAGGGAATGTCACTGTGGTGTCCCCTCTACCCCCTCCCCCGAATTCAGGGTGAGTTCAGGGCCCACCACCCCACTCACCGACTGCAGGAGGGTGAAGAAGCGTGAGGGGAGGCTCTCTCCGAAAAACACAATGTCTGGGGGGGTAGGCCGTGAGTAGAGGGGCTGGAGGGGGCTTAGGTGTCCCCTCAAATCCCTCCTAAGCCCCTTCAGATCCCCTCAAACTCACCAGGTTTCACCAGGCCCTGGCATTTCTCACATTTGGGGACGAGAGAGGAGAAAATCCGCTCTGGAAAGGAGGGGGAGTGGGAAACTGAGCGGGGAGCAACAGTTGGGGACGCACACAAACACTATTGGGGGGGGGGCAGAGAGACTGGGGGACGTGAGGAGGGTGCTGGGGGAGAACAGCCTCCGGTTAGGACCCTGTAAAGTGCACGGGATGGGACCACTCTGACCTTGTCCCAGTGCCCAACCCAGGGTCTCAGAGGGGTGCCCTGGGGATCCCGAGTGTTTCAGGGGGTCCCCAAAGCCACCCCCCATACCCTTCATCCAGCTCAGACTGTAGGGCTGGCGGCACGAGGGGCGCAGGCAGTGGGAAGTGAAGAAGGTGCCATGAGCCTCCACCAGCCGCTCCGGGTCCAGCCCCGCCACCCTCTCCAGGGTGTCGATGTTCTGAGGTGGGTGGGAAGGGGGTCAGGGGGACCCCAAAACCTCCAGGGTCTCCCAAACCTCGCCCAGCCCCCTTCCCCCTTCACATGGGGGGGTCCCACCTGGGTGTAGCAGCGCAGCAGCAGCCCCTTGTCCTGCAGCAGCCGCATGAAGTAGTGACACACCGTGGGCTGGGGGGCGAGATCAGGGGGTCAGTTGAGCTCCCCCCGACATGTTTTTGAGGGGTAGCCCCCCCAGGAGTTTGGAGGGGGGTGGAGGCCAGGAATGAGGGTTGGGGGATGGGTGAGCTCACCTTGAACTGCCCTGGGTAAAGCTCCCGCGCAAGAGCGAAGAAAGGCTCGGGGTTTTGCTGTGGGGGGAAATGGGGTCTCAGGGGGCTGGGGTGGCATCCTAGCACCCCCATAGGGTTGGGACCTCCCAGGAAACGGGGTGGGGGGAAAATGTACTTTGAAGAAGCTGATCTCAAAGATGGCCTCCGGGTAGGGCAGGTCATAGCTCTGCAGGTTGGCGTAGAGCCCCGTGCCAGGGGAGCGGAAATCGGGGATCCCAGCGGCTGCGGGGGGAGCGTGGGGGGGTCAGGGTTCCCTCCCGTGTTCGCCTCACCCCCCCCCCCATACCACACTCACACGTGGAGATCCCGGCGCCCACCATGCAGACGATGTTCTTACCTGGGGGAATGAGATACGGGAGGTGAGGAGGCATCCAAAACTGCCCCCTCCTTCCTCCACTGTCATCCCCCAAATCCTCCCCCAACAACCCCCCCAAAACTGCTCTCCCCAACTGTGAGTCCCCAAATCCACACCCAATTACCCCCCAAAACTTCCCCTCCTTCCCCCACTGTCAGATCCCAAACCCACCCCCAATAACCCCCTAAAACTGCCCCCAAGGCCGGTTCCCCTCTGGTTTCCCAATGTCCCCCATCTATTCCCAGTGTCACCATTCCCAGTGCCCCCATCCGTTCCTAGTCCCCCGTTCGCAGTGCCCCCCCGTTCCCGGTATCTCGTACACCGCTCGCTCCGCAGGAACCGGCTCACTCCGTCCAGGGACAGCTCGTCCAGCACCCGCTCGGGCTTGTCCCCCCCGAGCCCGAGGGTCCGAGACAGGAGAGTCCGGAGCAGCTCCACTGCAGGGGGGGCACCCGAGGGTCCACAAAGGCCCCTTCAAGTGTCCCCCCAAAAGTCCCCAAGGATCTCATTCCACTGAGCACCGCTCAGTGTTCCCAAATCCACCACAGGATCCCCAAGGGCCCCGAAAATGTCCCTGAGGGCCCCATAAACGTCCCCAAAGGGTCCCCAAAGGCTCCGAAACTGTCCCCAAAGGGTCCCTAAAAGCCCCATAAACGTCTCCAAAGGGTCCTTAAAGGCCCCATAAGTGTCCCCGAGGGCTCCATAAATTTCCCCAAAGGATCCCCAAGGACCCCACGACTGTTTCCAAAGTCCTCTTAATGTCCTCAAAAGCCCCATGGATGTCCGCAGACGACCCCCAAAAGCTCCATAATGTCCCCCAGGGCCCCACAGTGTCCCCAAAACCCTCAGAAGTGCTCCCGAAGAGTCGCCAAAAGCCCCGTAAGTGTCTCCATAAGGATGAGCCCGCGAACCACCCTCCCCGCGAAAGCCCAGACCCACTGTCAGCGTCGGCCGAAGCGCCCGGCTCGGGGTCCGAGACCTGTGGGGGAGCGGGAGGGTCACGGTGGGGTCCCCGAAGGGTTACGGGGGGATCGCCAAAGGGACACCAGGGGGGTCCCCAAAGGTCACCGGGGGGGGCTTCAGCCGCTCACCGGGGACTCCTCGTCCTGCTCCACCTCTTCCCCGCAGGCACCGGGACCTGCGGAGGCAATACGGGTGTGTCGGCGAGGGTGGCTGATGGGGGTGACTGAAGGGCGTCCCGTCCCAGCCCGACCACCCCCGGTACCTTCCGGGTCCGCCATGGGCCGTCCCGGCGTGCAGCGCGCGGCCGCTCCGCCACACCTCCCGGCGTGCAGCGCGCGCAGAGCCGGGCTTGTCCGCGCGGGCGGCGCTGATTGGCTGAGCGCGCCCCCGTTTCCGGGCGTGCCCCGGAAGCGGGACCCGGCGGGGATTCCCCGGCCCGCGATGGCGGCGGCGGCCTGAGGCGGCCCCGGCCCCGGCGATGGCGGCCTGAGGTGGCCCCGGCGATGGCGGCCGCGGCCCCCGCGGCCCTCTCGGCCCCCTCGGCCCCCAGCGAGGCGAAGCGGCCCGAGGGCGATGAGTGGTGCGACAGTGGGCTGGGCTCGCTGGGCGAGGGGCCGCTGGGGCAGCCGCTGCCCGACGGCCCCGGTCCGGAGCCCCTCGAGCCCCCCGCGGACCCATCAGCCTGGTTGCGGCATGTCCTGAGCTTCGTCACCGAGGACGGAGACACGTGAGTGCTGAGCAGGGGCGGGGGTAGGAGAGACACGGGACTCCCCCACCCCTGGGGTTGGGGAGTCTCGGCTCTTGGAGTGGGGCGCTGACAGGGGCTCCTGCCCTGCGACCCCCCCAGGGACCCCTTCGGCCCCCCCGCCGGGTCCCCTCAATCCCCGTACCCCCATCTGTGCCCTCCCCTTCCCCTGCCTTTTTGGGCCCCCCGCCCCTAAGCCTTTCATCCCCCCGCAGAGCGTTGCACTTAGCCGTGATCCACGAGCACGAAGAATTCCTGGAGTCCATCCTGCGGCACACGGAGCACTCCCCGTACCTGGACCTGCAGAACGACCTGGGGCAGGTGTGGAGGCTGCAGGGGTGTTTGGGGGGAAGTTGGGGAGCTTTGGGACCCCCCCAGTCTCTCCGGGGTTGCGTTTGGTGGGGGAGCTGTGGGGCGGCCCAGGAGGTTTTTCGGGAAATTTTGTGCCCCCCTGATCTCAGCAGCACCAGGTGGGTTTGGTTGTGCAGCTGCTATGGGGGGACCCCGGGCTCTTCCCATGCACCACCCCCCCCGCCCACAGAGCACTCTGCACATCACAGTAGGGCTGGGGCAGCCGGGCGGGGGTTCTTTAGAGTCTGTTTGGTGGCATTTTTGGGGGTGGTTTTGGGGGGTGTTTGAGATGTCTTTGGAGGTGTTTTTGGGGGTGCTTTGGGGCTCACGCCGTGCCCCCCCCCCCGCCCCCAGAGCGCTCTGCACATCGCGGTGGTGCTGGGGCTGGC